CAGCCACCCAGGAGGAGTCTGTCAGAGTATTGCACAAGGGAAAGCAAAGGAATCGTTGCCTGAAAGGATGAGGACACCACGGCCTTACAATGTCGACGGTCAACAACTGTTCTGCCAGCCAAAACAACGCCGCGTGCGCGCTAAAACCGGCGGCGCGGGACAGAAATCGCGCAAACGCACACACGAAGATTGGCCGGTTTCTTTAGGGATGTGGGGAAATTTGAAACCAGCCATCCGTGCATGCGTGAAACGATACCGCATGTTTGCCCTAGCTTCGAGCGCCCTATCCTTACCTTGAAACGGCCGTGCTCTCTCTTTCTCTCCGGGGAGATCCGATAGCACCGAAGGGTTATCTATTAAACTTGAGGAAGAAAACGAGAAGGGAGTGTTTAAGTTTAATTATCCCCACCAACACGCTTGTTCTGTCCTTATAAAGGGTTATCTCTTTTGGAAACAGCAAAGCCTGGAGACTGACATTAAAACGAGCGTGTTGGTAAATATACTTGTGTTTGTATTCTGCCCGGAGACTAGTTGGGTCGAAGTCAACCTCCTTGTCAACTATAACCGTTTGTGAAGAGTGGGCTTCTCCCGAGATGAGACGTTAGCGCCGGCTGACGTGTTCTTTTGAAAAAAGGGAAGGGGGAAGAGAAAGTTTGAGTAACTGCAGAAACTACCTCGAAAGCTCCTCTCCCGATATGAAGCTTGAAGCATAGTCTCGGTTACCTTCTCGCGCATCGCCTGCTCGAATCTATTCTTCACTTTCTTTCGTACAGCCACTGTTCCGCACAGCCGTCGTAGATGTGCGTAATAGAGGGAGGAACAGATTCGAGCATCATCTGGACGCCGTCATCATGCCAGACTTCAATGTCGTGGGACCGACTCGTGTGTGTTTCTTCGCCCCGCTGAACTTTGTTTCTCGGGTGCAATTTTTTTCTGAACGTTTTTTTTTATTTTCCATGTTTTCTTACTAACTGTTTGTTAGCACTGTTCAGTTGTTGGGTTTATTTCGTCATGGCGTAGCGGCCTGGCGGTGATGTAGAGAGCGTGTTCGCACGCATTTGGTTGCGTCCCGTTTAGGGAATGCCCGGGGGAGTTGGTTTTTGTTATTGCCATGTGCGGCTGAGTTTTCCCGTCTTTATTAAATTATTTTTTTTTTTTACCTTTACGTGCCGTCGACTTCTTTGTCTGACTCTCCACCAGGCGTGGACCTATCGCCTTGCCACCGCTCGAACCTAAATACTTTATTATTTTTTTTTAACGCAATTTTTGTTAAGATCGGAGTTGGGCGATTTCATTCCTATTTATTTAATTTTATTTCCTACCCCTCTCCATGACACACTCTCTGTGTGTTTCGGACCGTTTCTGTGTCACCACTTTTGTGTATTACGGAAGTGAAAGGACATTCCCTGGTGACCTGTGCGATGTGCGGTGAACAAGCCCCAGTGTTTGGTTTCGTAAAGAATTGTATATATCGACGATGTGGCGACTTTCTTTGTCTTAGTAATATGACAGCTAATAGCTAGTCGTGCTAGTTTACTTTGAAAGGTTTATAAATCGAAACAATACAACGCCTGTGCCTTTTGGTTATTGAAAGTCTACTTGGTCTGCTGATTTGGTTAGATATGTATCTCATGGTTCCCGCTCTTATCCAAACATACATAAATATTCAATACCACAAAATCCGTTTATAATTGATTACAAAATGTAGAAGAAAATTCAAGAAAACTTTTTCACAATTCATAGAGACGCATGGGTCGCTATGTCTGACTTAGGTCTTGCAAAACAAAGACGTCTTTTTCCGATATTGAGGCCTAAATATAAAACATGCAAACAAAATATACACTTTCTAGGCTTGATTTTCGTGTAGACAACTATCATATCAACATTTGACCAAAAAATAAAGAAAATAAAAAATGGGTTTTTTGAGAAAATCAATTTCAAAAATGGTACTTTTTGGTTTTTGCATAATATTAACGTAAACGTACCGCAAAGGATATTTTATACAGTCAAGGCATTTTATAATAAATATAAAGAGCGTGTTCTGGGCTCTCCGTGGACATAAAAAATATCGGTGTAACCCAAGTAGATCGCCAGTAATTAATTGTCAAAATTCGTCAACAATTGACCGAGGAGGCGTTTTTGACATTTTTACAGAAAAAAAGCAAAAGGCCTAAAATTATTTCATGGTATTGGAGCCTTTTAAATGTGTCCACAGAGTGGTTCAAAAAAGATAATATAATGTGGACTGAAAATCCATGGCGGTAGATCAAGCGAAACATCCGACCCACGACGGGTGTGAAAAACACTGCTTTCCGCCGCGGCCTCTTTAAAAATTCATAAGTCGAGAACAAAAAATCCGACGAACTTGCGGTTTGTGTCGACTGCGGTTTTAGAAACGGCGCCATAACATATATTTTTTTCATCGAAATTAAAAATTCGACCCTTTTTGCCTGCACGATTTGAGATGAAACCACCCATATATATATATATATATATATATATATATATATATATATATATATATAAAAAAACTGAGAAGAAAAAAAACCTTAGTGAAAAACAGCAACAACGGACGATTTAATCTTCGACGTTTCGCACAGTTTGTAATAAACTGGAAGATGAAAACGACTATGCTGCAAGTGCAGATGGCACGGGCCGGCCGGCAATTAGCGGCGAGATGTTTTAGTGGCGCCCTCCTGTGGTTCCCCCTTGTGACGTCATTACCTTGGAAACAACAAGTTCCATGGTGTTTGTAAATAGCATGGTGGAAGCTTGAAATCATTGCGCTCTCAAAGGAACACTGCCAACACCGTCAAAATTAAAGTTCCGTCATTTCTCTTAGTTCCGTCGATGATAAATCCTTTTTCTGATGTCATAGTCAGCGTTCGGCCAATCGTGGAACGCCGGCCACAGCGACGCTTTCGGTCGCGCACGGGGCTAACTACAATCCCTTCGAACAGAGTCAGAACCTAGATGCTACGTAAAGAATAAGCATGCAATTCGTTACGTTCTAATTTTAGCGTCGGAAGCGGAATGCCGGGTCGTCAGCGGAATATGTCTTCGTGAAGTGTACTCCCGAAGTAATGTTCACGTGCTCTTCACGACCCCGGCGTCCAAAGGAACCAAGTCAGCATGGTTAAAGAGATTCGCCCTTCGTCATTCCTTATCACAAATATCGTCAAAATCGAGTTTATCCAGACCCTACATTTCGGTAGGCTTTCTCTCTGCTTTGAAGATGGATCCGCTGACGTCGGAGTCTTTATTGAGTGATGAAAACGTCACTGCCTTCGCACATCTGGTAATCAAAGTACGCACGTGCGCGTTTGTCTGGAACGTTCGATTGGTGGTCTGGGCAACCATCGACTGTCCATTTGAACTCGTAAACATCGTGCGTTCTTCGAAAATATCGCGAAGCATGATTTAGCGGACGGAACCAAAAACATTTCATCAGATATCGGCTTAACACGGAGGTGCGTCTGGATGCTTGGTGATGCTAATACTCCGTAATGTTTTCGCGAATTCCTCTAAAAAAAATAGTAAATGCGTCGTAGACGTCCATATTAACACAAAGCACAGAAGCCAGGAAATTTGTTTTCAGCGTTCATGCGCACGTGACTGGCTTCAGGTCAGTCACGTGCGCATGAGCGAAGTTAACAGGATGGTCACGCGCTTTGCAGTGTTCAGAAACGTGAAAGCCGCGAAGTGCGTGACCATCCGATTGACTGCGCTCGTGTCCACATTATTGACGCGAAGCCAAATTTCCGGAAAAGATTTCTCTTGGAATCTTGCCACATCCAACAGACGCCAGGAATCATCAACAGATTCCTAGGTGCCTTTCCGTCTGTGTAAGTGCAAGGCCTGCGTCACGTTACAAGAACAGTGACCGAAACATAGCTTGAAAAGAGAAACTATTGTTTCCTCATCTACAAAGACGAAGAGGTTGAAGCTGAGGCGGCCTGATACGACCAACAGCCACCCTTAAAGAAGGAGCCAAGTAGGCTTAGAAACGTCGGGACTTCTTTTTATGGTTTTGTGGCTGAAGAATTCTCTTTTAATTTAAAGAGATTGCTTTCGATGTAGCAAACCGGATGATGAAGACACGAATGCTGCACCTACAATCTAGATGCATAAATTAAAGCAATATTATTCATCAGTGAAAGCACGTGGTTGTCCTGTGCTTGTCCTCCATGTTTTATTATTTTGATTTTAAGTGTTCATGTTCAACTCGGGCGCCTTTAACAGTTATTTATTTATATTTACTCTTTTCGGTTTTAAAGCACAACAAAACAAGCTAGTCCTACCGCAAATAAAATGCTGCTAGTGTGTAGTAAAGTGGTAAGCTGGGCGAGTTGGTTAACGTTAAACATCATAAAAGATCGCGAACAAAGACACAGTGACAAACGAGGAGTGAACAAAGAACACAGACAGGCGAGTAAAATACCCGCCTGTCTGTCTTTTATGTTCCTTCCTCTTTAGTCCTTGTCTTTGTGCGCGACCTTTCATCATGTTCGGTGTTAATCTTAAACGGATGCGGAAATTTAATACAATCAAGCAGGTATGTGGCATACTTAGAACACAACCAACATGTTGATCCGCAGCTTCCCGTGTGAGAAACTTTTGCCAAAGTCACTGTGAATGATTCTATAAGAATAGATGCAATAAATAGAGAGTACAGACCAGGGAAAAAATGCGCGTTGTTTGGCGATTAACCACTCATTATTCACAAAAACAACTATATCAGTAAATTAAAAATGTGAAGTTTTATGGCTTATCTCTTAAAGCCCGCTAACCAAATAAAGAATCTAAAATAACGGTAGCAATTACTAAATGGCGGCGTCCTGCTTCATCAAAAGCTGATGATACTTATTTTTATTTGATCGCAAAATATCCAACGCTAACCCATTATTCTTGTAGAATGAACATATTTGTTTGCTTAAACACAAAGATAATTTTATATAATGCAAACCATCAAAATATAGTATGAGCTGTATCACACTCACCATCACACATGCCATAATAACAAGTCAAAATTCCGGGGCAGGCGCTGTTGTCTTTGCAAGGAATCTCTGGACACAAACATGGAAGAGGACACTATTAGAAAGAGAAAGAGCTTGAACTAAAAAACTCATAATAAAACGGCAATGCTGTAAGCAGCAAACGAGACTCAAGGTAACATTCCATTGGTGACGGTCTCTTAAGAACGCATAGATAGCACAGGCGTTCACTAATTGAAGGTTCTAGAAGTTCACACTGCAGAGATATTAATTGAGTCAACCGTCTAAATCTGTTTTAACCAGGGGCCCAACCAGGGGAAGGGCGCCCCCACCCCGCCCGCTCCACCCCCCTCGATTTTTTTTTTTGTTTTTGTTGCTATTTCTCTTTGTCGTGAGCACCATCAAAGCAGGAAAGTAGATGCTCTATATGATTTAGCAAGAACCTTAATTCGCACAGAAAATAGACTACGACGGAAGAGATGGTAAGCCGGTTTACAGCCTTCATCGTCCACAATGTCACTCGTCTTCACATCTCTTTTTCCAAAGAACTGGTCGCCTTTGATGAGAACTCCAATCCTCCAGTCATTCAGTTTTTCAGGAGGCATAACAAGCCTATGCTGAATCACTCGCGAGAAGACTGTACAGTGAAATCCGGCTGCCCTTTCCTGGCTCTAGACCGACATTGTTTCTTCACTGCTGTGGTGCACCTCAAGTTAAACCAGCATATTTTACGTCGATATATAATATCATTTTTAAAAAAAAGTTCAATTTCAACTTTTAAGGTGTAAATTTTACACATATATCGCGGGTACAAAACTTCGCGAATGGAAGTGCGATGCCATGTAGTAGTTACCATCGGGAAATATAATTCGCGGGATATAGTTTACCGGATAGCTTTAAATTTGAGAAATTCTCAAAAACGGAGCTTTTTATAGCATGCCCTCTACTATCATAGTCCCATCACAAACTGATGATTGATTAAAATTAAAATAAACAAATTAGCACAACAATATTTAAAATTCTTTGTCAATGCAACCATCACAAAGGTTTTTCAAGGATTGTGCAAGTATTAGTCGGAAGCACTCAACATCGACTTTTCTGACATTTTAATGCCTGATTCCGCGGTTTAAAAGTCGCACGGTTTTATAAATCGCGCCCCCTTACAAATGGCTCTGTGGACCAGCCTTGGACAGCGGGAAGAACGGGTCATCGGTGGGAGCTGTCATTTCTAATTTGTCGTAAATGTCGATACGGTTTACATCTCGCGCAATTGAATACCACACTTGGATTTAGAGAAATATATACAATTCGGACCATTTCTTAAGACCGTCAAAACGTTTCGGGAAAACCGCAACTGATACAGCGGAAGGAGAACCACATGAAAGAAAAATCCACAAAATGAAACGTGTAGTGTATGGTTAGCACGTGGTTTTATTTACGGTGACCGGCTATTTTTATTATTAAACGTGACCAATAAACCCTTTCATTCTATGCATCCTAGCGAGCGCTAAATAAATAGCCGAATCAAATGATTCCGCCTATGTTTTGTTTGTTTTTTAAATCAAAAGCGAAAGAATACAAGTGCAGTTATTGCATGGAGCATGAAGAAATTCGCCTCCTTGAAATTATTTTAAAACCACAAAATGTCAGTCTTTTTACATGGACAGCATTTATATATCTACTTATATGAAAAAAAAGATTTAGTGAAAGGTATTTGAATAAACTTGGAGCTTCTCCATACTTACCCTTGCATGTACCATTGTCGCAAACCGCACGTGGCGAGCAATTAAAGTGATATTGGCAACGCCACCCTGCACAGTGACATGAAAGTGCAAAGTATGAGCAAGAAAAACAACTGGAGCTCGACAAAAGGTATAAATAGTCTAGTAGTCAACATATTAAAACAAGGTCACAGTGGCGCGTGGCACTGTCATGCGTCCAACGTCCCTCGTACAAATGAGCAGAAACGTTCGCGCTCTCAATAATGGTATCTCGAAGAGAGGAAAGTCGGTAAAGACGGAAGAAAATAAGGGACAACACACTCAGCGCTAGGAAAAGTGCGGCGGTTAACTGTAAAAATATATATTTCATTTTCTGAAACCACCTGACAATGGGTAGAGAACGAAAACATTCCAGATCGGAGGGTAAAGGACAAACATATAGTTATTATATTCTATCTAGAGTCTCATCCGGCGCTAGTGTGGTGTTGCAAATTGAAGCAGACAGCAACCAGTCGACACTTCACTTCCGGTAATGCATTTCTACGAGAAGAAGCGAGTGCATTTTTTTTCTGCGCTGGATAATACGGGCAAATATTGCGAATAATTATAATGTTGTAAATAGTTTGGAACGTTTCTCAATAATGTAAATGAAAATATTGGCCAGATACAATGCTTTTCGGCCAAATTCACGTCATTAACTACCGTGCTGAAACAGCTTTATACATGCATTTATGTGCACTGCCGGGACCTACCAGCGCGAATACAGCGCCGGCGCTTTTCTGCATGGTGCGTTCACGTACCAAGCGAAAAAAGAACATGTGGAAAACCAAGATAGATGGAAATAACTACGCAGTAACACTGGATCAGTGATTCTGTGTGAATGCTGACGATAAGAATAAAGTGAAGGTGAAGTTACTGTAGTCCGATTCGCGATAACTAAGTACTGTTTTTTTTTTCTCTCTGCTCGTGCAGAGATAATGCTTATTATGCGTTCGAAACACCACACGCTTAAAATTCTTGAAACGAGGGAGAAGCCGGAAAACAGGCGCTTGATAAAAGCTGCCCGACATAAAAAAAAACTAATAAAAAGACAGCTCTAAAAGCCGACATACTTTATTTAAGTTTTGATTGATTTTAAGAGCTCATAAAAACGCACGATGGAGTTAATTATATTGAGTGACACATTAGGAATATATAAGCGTCACCGAAATGCTGCTGAACCTTGAACCTATTCTACATTCCTTTCGATTGCTATGTGGCTTAGATTTTTTGCTCGTTTTAAACACCTTCTGTGGAACGCAGGTTTGGGCTTGAAATATAGCGGTGTTTAACATCACATACGAAGAAAACTGCTGTACGCAAACCAAATTCACTTTTGCAATCCTAATAACGGTACATACTATTCGGCATGACCATAATAACAAAAGTAATCCATGTTGTTTTTCGGTTGAGAGGCAAAATGCGCCCGCGTTTTTCCATATGAATTCACAGGAGCACCGCAAAAGTAGACTGGTTGCTGTATACTCATTTTGCATCCCGGAATTCTCCTAGACACTACCACGAGTTGAACCTCTTGAGCACATTATAATAACTGTATGAGAACAAAGACAGCGTCCCAAATTCTGCTGACCTGTTTATTCGATAGCATCTTTATAAAAAAAAAAACATTTTTAAAATTGTTAGCTAACTACCACCTACACAAAAAAAACCGCAAGTACCAAACACAAACACACACACACACACAAAAACAACCTTCCCGGGTCTATTATGTGAGCTTTTGTTGTTAACTTGCGAGCGGCCCTTGGAAGCAAATCAATCAAATTAAGTTTGCTTTCTGTCACGTGATAAATATGACCAACAGGGTCTGGTACGAAAATCTCCTAAAAAGCAGCTTGTCGAAGGTTACAGGCCCCCTCCCCACCCCGCAGATCACAACAACAAAAAATAACACATCTAGAAAAACAAAAAGAAACGCCAAGTAACCACACGCACGCACGCACGCACGCGCGCGCATACACACACACACACACACACACACACACACACACATATATATATATATATATATATTAGGGCTGGGCGATTGATCGATTAATCTTCCGATTAATCGAATAAGGCTTTAATCGCGATCAAACTTTTTAACCGGTTAATCGGTTTTTTAATCGGTACTCAAGAAGAAGTCAACTGGACGACCTGCCCAAACTAGGGGTGACTCATGCCCCCACCCCCCCCCCCCCCCCTCTCCCCTTAAGGAAAACGCTGCGGGCGTGGATCCGGTCGTTCTGTCCCAAGCGGTGTTCCGTTCTCAGCCAGGTGCTATGAGCAAGGTTCAATTCTCGCGCTCGCGAAGCGTCACGTGTTCGAGGATATACATTACAGTTCTGCAGAGGCCAGAGGAACAAGCCGGGCCCGCAATTGATCCCCGCGCGACCGCAAAGCTTCACGTGTTGAGGATCTATTACACGTCCTGTCCAGGCAAGACACACAAGCAGAAAAACAAGCTGGGAAGCTAACAACGCCATTGACGCCATGGTTACTTGTTCCAGTATTAGGCCCGTAAAGATGACGAGTTCACGCTGGAAAGTTTGGGCTTAATGTAAAATACAGAAATGGAGTTTTTAACTCGAAGGAAGTCCACTGCATCATCTTCAAAAAGCTGTTTTTGCGCAGTGGAAGAGTAAGTTCGCTTTAGTATCACCTACGTGCGAAGCACCCATACACGCCGCTGCAGCGAGGACTTGAACTTGAACTTTATTTCAGCAACATTATGCCGAGGACACCGGACAAAAAGCTAACAGAAGCTAGTTTGACTGGGTCCGGTGCCCTTGCATGTACAGGGAACACAATCATATTTAAACAATCCTAAATATTTCTTACAATATTCAAATCAAACAATTTAAAACGTTCCTATAAAGTTTTAAAATCACCGACACTAGAGAACAATTTTTTTTTTCTTAATTTAACGACACAAAAAAGTACGCAATGTTTTCTTAGTTATACAATGAATATCGATGCGGTTCGTTACAAAGTTGTTAAGCAATATAGGTATATTATGAGCAAGAGACTGCAGTGCATAATTTGTACGGAAATGGGACCATCTGCCAAAACGCAGAAAACAATCAACGCCTTCTCATCGTGGCCCCTTTTTTTTGAAAAAAGAAGAAAGCATCGCCCAAGCCCTCACTTCTTGTCTTCCTGTCGGAGAATGTGGACACACTTCTTTGGCTTCGGAGCTGGACCAAAAATATGCGAGCCTTTGAATCGTTGCACTATATATGTATCCTCAATTCTAAATGTCCTTTGCGCCATGCCACAGAGAAGCCTTCAAAGGCAAGACGAGTTCTTGCCCCATCCTTCTTAATATATTATTTATAAAAATGAACAAAACCGATCAATCGATTAATTAATCGATTAAAGGGTGGCGATTAATCGGGTTAAAATTTTAATCGACGCCCAGCCCTAATATATATATATATATATATATATATATATAAACGCTGAAATACACCAGTGAGTAAAGAAATGCTCAAAGCAAACGCAACAGCGGCCCCCGAGATGTCTATTTCCATCCGTGTGCGGGTAAAAAATCTAACATTTGTCGATAAAACTCCCCCAGCAGAAACCTCTGACTGCCCAATAAGCATCAGAGAAAGCTAAAGATGGTGACTTTACCCGAGAATTGGGCAACATCATCATGTTTAACATTTACCTACGCAGCGAACTTGCCCCATCGTATTTTGTTCGAGAAAGCTCCCGTTCTCGACGCCCTCACCAAGGCTAATATCTAATCCACCTATAATGACGATCCAAATCGAAAGTCCCAGTTTTGCTGGATATTGCAACAGGCTAGTTTTAAGCCGTACCCTTTCAGTGATTCACGCATAATACCATGCTCAAACGGATCAAGCTTCTGCTCGGACAGCATCAACAGTTTTCTTCAGTGTAAACGGTTATAAGGATTGAAAGATCGCAACTATAAACTACAGGTTGCAGTTGCCAACGTTTCTAGATAAACTTTGGTAGCGACTGCATTCTCGCATTCCCACACATCACTCGGAACAGAAAGGCGCTAGTTTCGGTTTGAAGTCGGTACCTTTTCTACAACATAGATGGCGGCAGCATCAGTCTTCTGCACTCGGTGCATTTGGCGAGTTCGTTTGAGTCCAGTTTTCCGTGCAACACTCTGTGAGTGCGATGCATTCTGGGAGAGAACTCGAACGGTGCCAGTGCGTGTGAAACGAGCTCGCTATTAGATTTTCCGACATGGTGCGAGTTCTTTCACCAGGGTCAGGTTTACGCGGATTCCGAGTCAAGAGGTCCAACGAGTCAAAAGATCCAACGCGTCAAAAGATCCATTATTGGACCTTCTGACTCGTTGGATCTTTTGACTCGTTGGACCTCTTGACTCGCCGTGGATCTTTTGACTCGTTGGATCACTTGACTCGTTGGACCTCTTGACCCACATTGGATCTTTTGACTCGTGTCGGGCGAGTCAAAAGATCCATCGAGTCAAAAGATTCATTATTGGATCTTTCGACTCGTTGGACCTCTTGACTCCGTGTCCGATAACGGGGAAAAGGGGGGGGGGGGGGGGCGATTGAAGGGCTTCGAAGAAACTTGGAACAAAAACAGCAGGAAAAGGAAGAAAAGCCAAACAACGATGAATGGCGGCTTTCGGGTGGCGAGGAGGGGTGACGGTCACTGCACTGCAACCGTTTATGGCCTGAATGTCCAACGAGATTAAATGTCCAAAGAGCCTGAATGTCCATTCGGTCGCGTGACAGGCGAGGCGGAATGTCCGACAAAACAAAAAATCTCAAACTGAATAAATACAAACTTTAAATGTATTTTTTTTGTGATTGCGGGTAATGCAACAGCGTCTTTGTGTGTCACCATACTTTATTCTGACGTAGCAGAGATAGAGGAAATATAAACATTTCTCAATTAGCGTTGTATAGACATTTTTTAATTGTTCTTTTTATCAGCAATATTCATTTTATTTTCATCGGGCAACGCCTAACGTGTTACACTATGTTTTACTATTTTAAAAATATATTCCGCTAGTGAAGGGCAGAATGACTGTATGTGCA